TTCTGAGGTCATCAGGGTGGGAGAAAGTCACACTATCATCCAGTCATTCTATAAGTGAGATCCTGTTAAAACAAATTCCAACAGACTGTACTTAGATGAGAATTTGATTGTATTGAAATACAATGGTCTTAAAGTATTACTTGAAACAAAAGGGTCTATGGTGGAGGTTTATAATGTATATAGATTTATGCTGAGTACCTGCTGTTTGCCAGGCAGTGACTTTAGGTTGAAGTAGGACATGACCCATATTCGTAGCCTTCAGGTATTATTTTTTTGGTCATTCATTGTGAATAATTAAACTTTTTAAAATAATAAAAGACTGGGTTTAACTAAATGCTAACTTCTAAAAATTTCAAAATAATTCAATTTTCATGACTTTTTTTGTGTGGCATTTTAATTGGCATATTGTATCTTAATTTACCCTATAGTTACTTTCCCATATTTCCAAGTACTTCATCCATCTTTGTAGAAAAGGAAAATAGCCTGTGTTTTTAGTCAGTATTAACAGACTGTAATAGAAACTGAATGGCCATTCTTATTCCACCAGACCCTTTCTTGAAGTCATCAATAGTATCAGCATCATTTAGATGAAAAGATGACACTGTCCCTCCAAGAATTTAAAACCAATTCCATTTGAAGAACTTTGGAAGTTGTCCAGTAGCATGAGGTGCTGTGTGAAGAGCATTTTTTTACAGTCAGCATTTAGTGGGTGGCAGTGGAGAAGTGAAGACAATGAGGGTTTCAGAAACTTTCATGACAGGAGAAACTCTTCACCAGGCATCTTGACCTTCAGATAAAGGGTCAAAGACAATAGAATATTTGAGAATGAAGGCCATCAAGATGTTAAAATACTAAAGTAATATGAAATTTTAAAATAAATTTGAAGATAAATAGGAAGGAGTAGTGACAAGCTGCCAAATTCAAAATGAAAGTAAGTTTATTTGGACAAAAGGCAAATTTTGCAGCACTTTTTTTCTCTTTTTAAGAAAATTTTATGTTTACTCTTGTACAAACATTTCGGGGAGTTTGATTTGAGTGTTGCATTTTGCTCGTTAGAAACACACACACATACAACAACGTTGGCTACGATGGCTGATTTCACTCCTTTTTAAAGTAGCTCCACTGTGTTTTAGGATAATTTACCAAAGGATAATGATAGATATGAACCAGTAAATTATTTAATGAAGTTGTGGAGCATAATGCTGAGGCTCAGTCATGCTAAATTTAACATGTCTAGTGCTGATCACAGTTGTTACCACTTGTTATAAGTTACCACATCTAATCATCTAATTCTGTGTATTTGTGTGTGTTTGCAAGCATATGAGTGAGCTTACTCATGCATGCTGAGGCTCAGTCCTAAAGTCAAACAAGCAGATAGAGAGGAGAGCTATTGCTTTGTTTTCAAGAACACATTTTTTCCTTCAGCTCAACCAGAGGCTTTTAGGATTTCTAGTGGAAATACTACTGTTAGATACTGGATAAAACTGCTTATGGGTGGTACACAGGCTCACTCTTCATGCCCTGACCCTGGTTTATGTTTCCAACTTCACCTCCCCACATTCTCCCATAAGATTCGCCATAGCAAATCCCTTGCAATTCCCAGAAAGTGCTATGCTTTCTTGCTTCCCTACCTTTGCTTGAGCTCTTACCTTGGGATGTCATCCTCTTCACTCAATGCCTTGTCACCTCCTCCTTATCCTACTGAGAGGTCTTCCTTGAACTTCCAGCCTAAATTAGTTGTCCCTGTCTTCTTTAGCATCTTGTCGATGCCTAAGCATCTGTCATGCTGAAGTATACCCGTTTTACCTGCCTCTGCCCTCTGCTAGACTACTTGTTGTTAGTTAGTTGTTGTCGAGTTGGCTCTGAATCATGTGACCTTACATACAACAGAAAAAAATGTTGCCCAGTCCTGCGCCATACCCATGGTAATTGTTATGTTTGGGTCCATTGTTGCAGCTATCGTGTAATGCCTTCCAACTGTGGGGCTCATCTTTCAGCACTATATCAGACAATATTCTGTTTGTAATCCATAGGGTTTTCATTGGCAAATTTTAGAAAGTAGATCTCGAGACCTTTTTTCCTGGTCTGGAAGCTCCACTGAAACCTGTGCACCATGGGTGACCGTCCTGGTATTTGAAATACTGGTGGTAACTTCCAGCATCATAGTAACACACAAGCCACCAAAGTATGACAGATTGACAGAAGGGTAGGCTGGTGACCTGGACTGCTAAGTTCCTCAGAAGACAATGATATGTTTTTAGATTTGTGTTGCCATTACTGAGTACTCTCTACAGACTAGGTGCTCAGTGTGGTTGGTGGTTTGGATCAAGAGTGGATAGTTTCTCTTTGTGGGGATAACACTGCTTCCTTGTCTCAGACTGGCATCTTATACATGAGTGTATCTTGGGTGCTCCCTTCCCTTTCAGCATGGGCAACATGCCTCAGACTCTGAACCTTGGGTAATGCCACAAGTATAAAGTGTTTAGGACACAGGGGCAGCATCACTACCACTTTCAGGAACAAAAGCCATGAAGGTGACAGTAATGACTCTCATGCCTGTTCCCGTTGCTTGTTTATGTGTGGTTGTGCCAATAATCAGTGTATTGCGTCTCAACTCCCAACTTTTCCCGTTTAGCCCAGTTGGGCTAATATTTCTCTAAATGTTTCTCTTTTGCCAGCTGGCGTGATGGTAGGCTTTGTCAGTAGAGGGTGCTGGAGGAGGAAAGGATTTTCTTTCCTGGGTCCTGTGTACTCCACATGGAAACCCTGGTGGCACAGTGGTTAGGAGCTATGGCTGCTAACCTAAAGGTCGGCAGTTCGAATCCACCAGGCACTCCTTGGAAACTCTGTGGGGCAGCTCTGTCCTGTAGGGTTGCTGTGAGTCGGAATCGTGACGGCAATGGGTTTGGGGTTTTTCTTTTTTTTTTTGGTTTGTGTGGTCCACAGCATTTGGCTCTTACTGGCAGTACCCTGAGGGAGGAGGGCCTAGCAGCAGCATCTCCTCATGACATGCTTCTCAGCACCCCAATACACAGCCTCTTCTCAGGCAGTTTCCAGGGCAAATAGCACCTCTCCATGAGCAGGTTCTGGGCAGCAACCCAACATTACTCCTGCAGCAGCCTTCCAACAGGTGGGTTTTTGCACACCAGCCTCGACCTGCTGACTGTGGATTTCAGTGGGTTTCAACCACACCCTCTCCAGCAATGTCTGAATCCCAGCCTTGGGGAAAGAACCCATTTCCATGTTTGTTCCTTCCTTGAATACTCTCAGTCTGCACTAGTTTTCTCTTTTTTCCCCCTCTTAGACAATTCCCTGTTAATAATTCTTCACACTAAACTTTCTCTGTTCAAATTACTATGTGATTTTTGTCTCCCCATTGGCCCCTAACCAATACAGATGCCCTCTGTCTAGAATGCCACCCAGGCTGCCCTTCCCCACCTGATGAACCCTGTAGATTCTTTAAGGCCTTGGCCTAAATGATACCTCATTCATTTATTCCACAAACACCTCTGATTTCCTACTGTTGAATAGGCACCAGGCCCAATACTGGGGATAAGTAAGACAGGGCTTCAGCCCTCTAGGAGCTCCAAAGCTAGAGGAAGAGAAAAATGAGCAATGATGCATGCTATGTTAGAGAAGTGTGCGGGTGGGGGAAGAAGGGGTGGCGTGATGACTAAAGCTTAAAACAGAAGCTTAAAAAGAAGATGTTAGTGTCTTCCCTGTAGGAGCCTAAGGGACAAATAAATGAAAATACGTGGAAGAGATGAACATTTACCGCCTTAAGTGTGTAGCTAATATCCATAAAAGAAAAACAAAGTGGTTTTATTCTGTTTTGTTTGTGAATATTCTTTTTCTTTTCACAAGGCACTTGAGGTGGATAAGGTTTTATTTTAATCTTCTCAGGGCAGGAACTGTTTCTAGTCCTGTTTGTCTTGTACCTACAATGCCTGGCCCATAATAACATGCATAATAAAAGCTAGCTGACTGACTTAAGGCTAATGATACTGAGTTGATAACTATGTTTTGTCTTCTGTTCCAAGAAAGCCACATTCAGCCCATGTTTTCTTATGTTAACAGATTATAAATAAATATAAGCTATTGTTTTTGTACTTGAAATATAAACAAAAAGGTGATTAATAAATTCAGCGCTTGCTTTTTTTGGTTCCTCTCCAAGCAGCCATTTACAAATAATCACGTAATGTCTACCATTTCAGGTATGTGCCACACAGTGTGGTGTGTGCTTCCTTTTTTGTAGACCTCTTTCTCAGGTGTCCCTGGGTGGTGGAGTTAACACATTGCTGCTAACCAAAAGGTTACTGGTTCACATCCACCCAGAGGCACCTCGGAAGAAAGGCCTGGCAACCTACTTCCGAAAAAATCAGTCGTTGGAAACACAGTTCTACTCTGACACACGTGTGGTCTCCGTAAGTTAGAATCAACTCAATGGTAACTGATTTAACTGGTACTTCTCAGATATCCCAGTTTTACAGACATGGAAAGAGGTTAAATTACTTACCCAAGGCCACACTGGTAAAACATACCTGAGGCAGGCTTTGAGTCCAAATTGATACCAAAGCCCTTGTGTTTTCTACTGTGCCACCCACATCTCACCATGAGTGATTCCATAGTCAGTCAGGTGCCTGTCTTAGTCTGCAGCTGTGCGTGCATGCACGCACGCACGCACTTATGCAAAAGTCCTTTTTCCTCTCCTGAAACCACCACCACCTCCCACCTCATCCTCTGGCCATCCAGGTGCCCTGGTTTAGCGCATGGACAGGGTTAGGAAAACTCAGAAAGGGAAGAAAGTCTCTCCCTTTTGCCTCTTTGAGTTAGGGTTCAAAAAGTCTTTCATCAGGGTGTATCCACTTGCTGGAAAATTGAACTTGGTACAGGTTATGGCAAATGTTTAATTGTATATAAAGTTCAGTGAAATTTGAGCCTTGAGGAAATTTATTTCCACTTATGAAACATTAATCCTTATTTTCCTTTTGCCTTCTCAGGTGCTGTTACCCCCATATGATGATGCCACTGTGAACAGCACTGCCAAGGAGCCGCCCCCACCATATGTGTCCGCCTAGGCCTGAGCGCAGGTGCGGAGCCGAGAACAGCAGCTTAACTTCACACACCTGAGCAATAGTTCTTTCACTTCTGAAATGAGCTCTCTGAGATTATTTGTTGCTGAAATGCTACAGTTTTAAAATTTAGATGTTAAGTTGAAACTCTCTGTAGTCTTAAACATGAGCTTTAGCTAGAGCACTGTGATAGATTCACTGTGGAATTCTTTCCGTAGGGGTTGGGGGTGTAATGGGCTTCACTAGACTTCCGTAGGCATTTAAACTTCCTAAAACTATGGATGGACCCTGAGTCAGAGAAGTCTGGTTTTGTACCTACTGGGCCCCACAGTTGGGGATTTTGTCACACTTTTTCTCTCTGTTCCCTATGTCCCTTTCGAAAGTGTACAATAAAGTAAAAAATTCGACAAGTTTTTCTTAAACCATTCCACTGTATAGAACAAACCCTTATTAGAACAGGAATGTTAATTTGTGTAACTATTGCACTAATTAGGTAAATAGGTATCCTTATCTATATGCTGCAAGAATTTCCTTAAGATTCGTTATAACTTAAATTCAATGACAGTTTGAGTGGGCTAAATTAATACCATTAGACGACACCCAGCAATGAGACCAGTGACTGTCAGGGGCTGTTCTTGTACAGCCTGTGTCTGGGGTGTGAGTTAATTTGGTTGGCACTGGAAGGTATCTGGTGCTCCTTTCCCCAGGTTTCCTGCCCCCTCCCACAGCCCCGTACTACTAAGCATCCTGCCCTAGCTTGTTTCAAGGACGACATCCAGCTCTCCAACTCACTTTATCAAGTGGAACTGCTGATAATGTATTTGCCTACTTATATGAGAAAAGGGTTACTTCTCCTTTCCCTGAAGGTACATCCTACTATTTTGAACTTCCTGGTATGCCTAGTCATCTTTTAAAATGTAAAACAGTCTTCAGAAAATTGAGGGTTGCTTTCCTTGTTGAATGCTTTTGACTACTTGAACGTCAGGGGACTTTTGTATATTCATGTGCTCACAAGTCAGCCACTCTGTTCATTATGAAATGTGTTGTAAATGAAGGCTTTTGCAATTAAAGTGAGATTTGCCCCCATCTAAGAAAGAACCTTTGACTCTGTGGTGGTTGTGCCTGAGGACTCTTCCTGCCCAGATGTGGCCGTGCAGATGGTTCAGCCTGAGGCTTTATGGCTTGTTTCACACATACATGTTTTTTCATATTTCAGTGCTGATAAAATTGGAGCATTTTAGGCTAAGAGAAATGGGAAACAAAACAGACTCGAGTGCCAACATTCCTAACATCCGCCTCTATGGAGCCCCATATGTCAGCTGGTTTGCATATGATTTCTTTATATCCGTAGTGCTCTTTTAATAAGCAGTTAAGATTTTACTAGTTCCCAAGGGAGACTAAAATAAAAGAGGGAGGAGGAGAGATTTCTATCCCTGAGAATCAGCCTCAGTGACTTCTTTTGGTATATCTCATTGGTATTCTTTATAAACTCAAGCTAGGAAATTTTGTCCCTTGAAGCTTTATGCCCTTAAGATTCACACAAAGGTAAACACACTAGGGGTTATTAGGAATGGAAAAGGAGTCCCTGGGTTGAGCAGTTAAGCACTTGACTACTAGCTGAAAGGTTGGCTGTTTGAACTCACCCAGAAGCACCTTGGAAGATAGGCCTGGCTGTCTGCTTCTAAAAGGACACAGCCTTGAAAACCCTATGGAGCAGTTCTACTCAGCAAACATGGGTCACCATAAGTCGTGTTGTAGGGGAAAAAACATCACAAAGTTTAGTAAAGCAAAAAGAAAGTTTTATTTGGTATGTATTCAAAAGGGCAGAAGTGGGAAAAGGACAACCATGCTGCCAGAGCTAGAATGTCTGCCTGAGTCCAAGGAAATACCACAGAACGGACAGAAGTGGGAAAACGGACAAGCATGCTGCCACAGCCATGTCTGCCCAAGTCCAAAGAATATTACAGAATAGGCAAAAATGGGAAAACCTGACAAGCGTGCTGCCACAGCCATGTCTGCCCGAGTCCAAAGAATATTACAAAATAGGCAAGAATGGGAAAACGGACAAGCATGCTGCCACAGCCATGTCTGCCCGAGTCCAAAGGAAGAGTTACAGAGCCATCAGTATATATTAACATTACAAATGGGCAAAACCATTGAAAGCTTCACCTTTTCACAGACTGGCTAGAAACTGTGATCCTACATTTTGAATTGTCTTTCTTAACAATCACTGGTACAGGTTTCAGTAATGACAATCAGGAGGGTCTTCATTGGTCCAACAAATTTCTATTCACTAAATGCTAATAGAAAAAGTAGAAAGTCTTTTGTGTTGTGTTTGATCCGCTTTTTGTGAAAGTTTCCCTAAAAGATATTTTCCAAGATTATCTTAGCTATTGTCTTTACACCTCAGGGCCCAGTTGGTGTGTCCCTGTGAGTCCTTGTGGGCCCAGCTCCAGCTGGTTCACATTCTCTATGCTCAAGGAGAGGGAATAACTCCAATATTATTTCCTACATCAGTCAGAAACGACTAGATGGCAACCAGCAGCCACAGGAATGGAAAAGGCCTATCACCCATCCCTATGGAAGGAGCATAAGAAATCACGGTTATTTGCATGTGGCTCCCCATATTTCTCCAGCTGTTTTTACAGTATGAAAAATGCTGCGTGGTCAAATGGAGAGAAGTACTGATTTTGAGAGGAACCAAGACCATTGATCTTGTTCATATGGTATTCAATTAACACCATAAATACTGGGATACCGCTTCATCCGCAGAGGCACTGTATGGTGCTGGTGCTGCTGGTTTTTCTTGACTTGTAGCATAACCCACGCTAAGCCCTAGAGCTGCCTCTATATCTACCTCTCCAAAGTGAGGGATTGTCTTCGTCCTGACTCCACTGTGGGGGGAGGTTGTGATGCTTAGATTAAAATGGCCCTGCTGAGCACATCCCATGCCTCAGCAGTTCACTGCATCTTTTGTCTCGTTGCTAATACAGATAAAGACTTCTCTCTTGAATGCATTTGAAGTCCCGTTTTAATATCCAGTCCTTTTCTTCTGTTTGGTTATCCACAGAGAATAGCAGTCATTACCTCCATTTTTCTCATGTCTGTGTACTTCTTGGACACTTCACTGATGAGAGTTCTTCTGTTTTTTGTCTTTTGTTTTTTTTACCTTGACCCCTAAGCCCTTGTTTTAAAGTCATAGGCATTCAGCCTAGCACCACAAGATATACAAATAGACGAGGCGTGCAGATAGACCCACCGAGAAGCAGCCCCTATAGGAGAGAGTTTTTAAGTTTTAATATCTAGTCCTTTTCTTCTATTTGGTTATCCACAGAGAATAGCAGTCATTCCCTTAATTTTTCTCATGTCTGTACGCTTCTTGGATACTTCACTGATGAGAGCTCTTCTGCTTTTTTTATCTTTTTCTTTTTTACTTTGACCCCTAATTCCTTGTTTTAACATCATGGGCATTCAGCCCAGCACCACAAGGTATACAAATAGACGAGGCATTGCAGATAGATGCACCAAGAAGCAGCCCCTGCAGGAGAGAGAGTTTTAAGTAGAATTGCTGGAGTAGGGAGAAGGGGGAAGCTTACACTCGTTGGCTTAGATTGTGGTCTGTCCACTCTAGAAACAGATCTACTACTGAACATGCTAGCCTGATTTCCAGAATGCCAAGTCATACATCAGAGTTTAAAGGCCTGCAGACTAATGCCCCTCTCCTTCCTGCTCCTTTCTACATAAACACTATTGGCAGCAGAACATGGCGGAGTAGTTAGATGCTTCCTATATCCCTCTTACAACAAAGACCTGGAAAAACAAGTGATTTGATTCTATGTGAATATCTGGCAGCCCTGAACAAGGCAAGGTTAAGAAATCCGTCTGAGTGATACAGGAGAGGGAGACCGTTTGGAAGAGGTGAGGAGGGCTAGAGCCACGGAGGCAAAACTGCAGCGCCGCAGCCACGCCGTCTGCGGTGAAGCAGGCAAACAGCTATGCTGTGTCCGCTCGGGAAGCAGTTTCCAGATCGAGAGAGACTCGGCAGCAGAGATTCTGCTTGGACACTCCGAACCAGTGAAGAGCAGCCTCCAAGAGGCTAGGATAAGTACATGCGTGCACCCTTTCGTGGGGATTAAAAA